TCCAAACTGATCATATACATCTTTGGTCGCACCAAACGTTTATTCTATGAAAGATGTTATATATGCTAGAAAGTATTTTATGAAGATCTTAAACAGCTGGATGGTGGCATTCACAACATGGCAATACATCACCACTTCAAGGAAACTGAGTAATGTTAAAATACGTCCAACATAGAGGTCAGAGGTTTAGAACATTTCTTATAAAATACTATGCTCCAAACTGATCTGGCTGATCCGCCAAGACACCAATATAAAATCAGAAAACGTGCATCCAAGTCAACGCCAAGACTGGAAAATCATCCAAATCAACTTGCGAAAAACTTGCTTTCCTCAAGCACCCACAGAAGACATAAAATTAAACACAAAATTAGATTTATTATTATTTCTGTAGGTATGTTCTTCCCATATATTTTCCAAACTTAAAATGACTACCACTGGTTAGAGTTTATAATATCTTTCACATTAGTCACCAAAATTACTGAATGCCTTTTTGGGCAGTTTGTAATTATAAATTCCAAACTGATCATGTGCATCTTTAGCCATTTTATATGATCATTCCATAAAAGATGTTATATATGTTTTGGAGTTTTACTTGAAGAGATTAAACAGATTCTTGCCAGAATGGCACAACATTCCTAACTTGATCATAGGTCATGATGCCAGCAAATCTCAGAAATGTAATATACATCTAACACGTACCTGAACTTGTTAACTCTAAGAAAACGTTTATGTTTTAGCAAGAGACTCCGAATTATTAATTTAACCCTTTCCACTCGGATGCCGCCTCGTTTCACATCCAAATTGGGAAAAGTATGTGTTTAGGCATTCAAAATTTGATCTTTTGTCGACGTTGTTTAAAAACAGTACCACCGATTTAAAAAATTCAGAAGCCATTTGATAAAACTAGAAAAGCAACGATCGGTGTTTGGACGTATTTTCGTTTTATTATATTGGCCATGAAGGTGACGATCTTTATGGCATTGAGCTTTCATACGGGATGGTTGCTACCCCTGGTAGGGGGAAAAGAGCGTAGAGTTTTAATTGGACAAGTTGTACACTTCTAACAGTAAAGTCCGCGAAACAACATGTATAATAAATAATGAATAAAAATATCTTTTTTAACTATAACTTAGTGACAAATCATTGATTATAATAAGAACTCTAACAAATACATGCAAATCCAAAACAAATCAGTGTTTAATACAATACACAGCTACAAGGGTTAAATTATAACCCAACTTCAATAACCCTGAGTTATTGAAGGAGAGAAATTTCATAACTTCGTACATAAATATAATCGGCTTTGCCATTTTTTTTACAATTTGCAGTTAAGTCCAGAGGTCAAAAATTTTCATTCATGTTTTCGCCAGAAATTCTGAACCAATTTTGAAAATTCTAGTTCCAGAGATATCAGTTGCAAAACATGATCAGTTTTTTGTAATGATTCGAGCGTGTCTTACTCGTAGTGAATTGATTAATTAAAAACTTTACATAGCGATAGAGTTCATGTTTTACATCCCAAATATTATAAGCCTACTTTTACACTATAAGTGAAGTTTTCAAAGCAATATGTTCAAAATTGCACTTTACAAAATAATATTTCACAATTTAGCATCAGAATGCTTATTTTTACTTCATATTACAAGAAATATCTATTACTTATACCGTTACCAGATATCTTTATACAATACGCGACTCCACCATAATTTTCAATATGTAATCCGTTCCTAAGTACATATATTTTACTGAAACACTAACTGCAAATGATCATTGTACGATTTGTGAGAATAAAAAACAACGATAAAAATATAATACGTTCGTATAGTGTATCATTTGTACAAACGTAACAGGATCAGAAATTCACAATGCAACAACCGACAGTTATTCAGCGTGGAAACATAGTTTTCATTTGTGTAACTCCGACGCTTTGGTTTCCGTGAGATTTCTCAATGAAATAAATAATTTATATGCTGTGCAGTAGCAGATTCGGGTTAAGAAATACCTACTTCGTTTTATAGAGGAATTTTATTTCACTGGAATTAAATTTCAACCACTAGTGTGTCAAAATTTAAGTTCAGTAAAGCCATTGTTTAAAATTTTCAAAAATTAGTGAAGCATCCAATATTAATCTATTACAAAAATGCCTCAATTACAGATTGCCTGATTATAAAGTAGTGGTATATGGCATCGTAACTTAAGGCAAATTGCTAGAACTTTTCGTAATGTAATTTTCCTTACCCTTACCCTTTTCACTCGCCAATTGCGGCAGCATCCGAGTGCAAAGGGTTAACATTTTGAAATCAGAAAAAAATTTTTTTTTTGCGAATTTTGAATTTCTTCTAGCATATTTCAAAATTTAAGTTTAAGTTCAAAAAGATATATTTCAATATATAAAATATACACTGCATAATTGTGGATTGATACATAAGTTTACACTCGGGTATTATAATTTTTTATTAGATATTTTACATCAATATATCTATATGTAATATAGAAATAGAAAACAGAGTGCTGTATTTATGCGAAAAAAAAGAATAAAGTGACCACAAAAAAACAAAATTTTAGTGAATTTAAAATATTAAAAAATTGTCTTTTTGAAAACTATGATTTGAAATTCGAAATTTGAACATATTTGAAAATTATTTACGATATAATACGATTGCCAAATGTCATTTGAAAAATTAGAATAATAAAAAATTGGCTGTTTTGGAAAATAACGATTTTTTTTAAAAAAATTTAAATCTTTTGAAAATACTGATGTCTTTTGAAAACTTAGGTTTTTTTTTTGAAGTTTCTGATACCCATTTATTTTTTTTAATCCGTAATGTCAAAAATATCTGCTTTACGACCACCAAATGGTATTTTTTCCCCAACATTTTTTTTGGATCTCCGAAAATTTATTTAATTCTCAAAAATACTTATGTTTTTCGAAAATATTGCATTTTTTTGACAGATTTTGATACATGTATATGTTGGTTAGTCCATACTATCTAAAGAATCTGCAATACGACCGCCAAATGTCTTTTTTTTTCTTAACTTTATTTCTGGATCTCCGAAACCCTTGAACCAGCCTTGGCAAAAAATTATTGAACTTTTCATTACGCCAATACAAATAAAACGTTTTTTGAATCATTCAAATCGGATGCTCCGTTCTCTCAAAAACCTATTTGCTATTTTCTGCACTCTGCTCCGTACCTCCTAAATGATTTGACCTGTCTTTGCTAAAAGCTAAACACCACTTCCCACCATTATTACGAATTGAATGTTTTTTGGATCATTCAAATCGGATGCTCCGTTCTCTCAAACATCTAATTTCTACTTTCTGCACTCTTTGCTTCGTATCTCCGAAATGGCTGGACCGAACTTTGCCAAAAACTAATCAGCACGTCTACTATCAATACCAATCGAAGACTTTTTGAATCATTCAAATCGGTTGAACCGTGTTCCTGAAACCGTCTACGAAATATTGTATCCACACATACACAAACACGCATCCATTTTTTTAAGGTATACCAAAATGTTCAGAAATTTAAAGATATGCCAAAATTTTCATTTTAGATTTTTGGATGACAATAACTTACCCGACGGGAAGTTAAAAAATACAAATAGTCCAGTCATTATAGTAAGTTCACCTCGGAATTCGAGATACCCATCTGTAAGTCTGTAAATACTTGTATATTGACACCCTAAAGTTGCCTCAAAACCTGCATATCCATAGGGTGTCAATGTCATATGTAGGTTTTGAGACAACTTTTGGATGTCTGAAGACTTACAGCTAGATACAGCTCGAATTCCGAAATTCTTACCTAATTTAAGTTTAAATGACTGGAGTAAAAGTAATTGGACATTGGAGAAAAAACAACAACAACAAAGTTCTTTGCTTTGAGAAGTGAGATATCAAATTGGATAATGAAGACTTTCAATCATCGATGAAATAATTTCTATTAACAAAGTTGCCAAGAATGCCATTCAAAACCATATAGAGAATATATCATTCCTTCTAATAATTAATACTTTCCCATTATAATTTCTTCTCAACACCTTACTGTTACATTAATTATCCTCGGAGTCTTGCTCGCACATGAGAAAGTTAACAGAGATATTCTCATCCAATAAAATGACATGAAACGCGTGAATGCCGTTATAAATTGGATTTAAATTCCGTATTATATCTTCAGAATCTATTTGCGGGTCATATACCTTGATCTTAAATTTTGAATTAAGATTTTATCTGTTCTCAACTCAATGTTATTGTATTGTAATGAAGAGAGTTTGAATGAAGTTGTAAAGGTGTAAAGTGATTTACTATTTGTTCTTTCTAATGGCGGTAATAAAATTATGAGTATTGTATTCGAGATGTTTTTTTTTGTGTATATAGAAGTCTATAGAGTATACAACATCATGTTTTATTATTAAATGGTTTATAAGTTTTTTTTATTAAATAATTCAAAATATTTCATTTTCTGTAATTATCGACTAAGCAATTTTTTGGCACGAAACTCGTATAGTAGTCCTCATTTAAAAACAATTTTATATGTTTTGCTGATTAAAGATTTTTTTAAAAGTTATACAAAACATATGCACATATCAAGGAAAAGTTTAATTATTTACAAATATCTGGTGTACAAATATTCTATTAAAATAACCACATGTAGGAAAAACACCTCAATACTTGATTTTCTATTCTAAATTATAACGATATTCTAATGACTGTGATATATAATTAGAATGTATTCTTTGATTAATAAAATTATGATGTGAATATAATTTTCATTAAAAATCAATATTGACAGAGTTTAAGTTGCGATTTGCCTGCCTTTTCACTTTCTCTAATAGTTTTCTGTAATTAGCTTGGACATTTTGATGATTGTTAAATTTATATCTCTGTGTTTATATGCAACTTTTGTTTTTTGTCATTTAACTTAATATTTAAGTATAAAATAAATATTGATTCTACTGATTTTAAGAGCTTTTTTTGATGGTTTTATTATTTTTTCTAGGGTGGATTCAGGCTGCAACTATTAGATTATTTGGAGCGACCACTTCTGGATCTGACACCATCAAGTGGTGGTTCTGAATTTGTTAAACAAGATGCAACGTGAGTAAACTAAATTAAATTTTATATTTTTCACTGTAAGAGTAAAATATACAGTTTTCAAAATAAAATATTGCTGATAGATATGTAAAGCACAAATAACGCAAGAACTGGAGGAAAAAGTTAAGGAAAAAAAACTCCCTCTCAACCAATTTTATAACATTATTGACAAAGGATATAAGATGCACTATATAACTATATACAAGCAAATAAAATAAAAGTGTATAAAATAATTATAAAATGTATATGACTGATGTACGTGTATACAAAGTCAACAATTAAACAATTGTAAAAAAATAAAAAAATAACGCATGAAAACGTTGAAGAGTGTTAATAAAAAGCTTGCTTTTGCTTAGTAGTGAAAAAAACTTGTTTTCAAAAATTTTGTATTCTTAGAGCAATTTTAAAGTTTAAAATAATTTTCCAAATTATTCTGAGATTATAGTTTATTCAAGGGTCTATTTGATTAAAAATATTAGAGTGATGTTTGCTTATATTTTTGGACAATCTTCAATAATTTCAGGGCACAATCTTTCTTGGTACATTTACCAGCTGATTTTACTTGTGAGAATTGCACTTTGAGATTATTGCGTCAAGCTGATGAATGGGGCGGCAACTACAGATTTTGGTCTTGTGCTGATATTGATATAAAAGATCGTAAGTATATATATAACATTTTAAACTTTTATAAAATATACTAAGAAATACATAATTAATGATTAATTATAAATTTATTGAAGAACAATATCATTCCGTTCCCAGAAGTAAATTAAATTATTCACGAGATTGTTGTCAAACAATTTTTGCACAAAAATTTGCAGGTTTCGAAGGTTGCATAGATGGCAGCATCACTGGGAGAAGTGTGGAGTTATAAGGAGTTAGTGCAAAAAATACATGAGAAATTAAAAAAAAATCTATACCATTGTTAGGTCGGATACTTTTCACTCGTATATACTAGAAATAAGTTAGCTGAGGCACAATATATTAATTGTGCTGGAGCTCTTGTTTGTTTAAAATATATACGTAAATAACATTATCAGTATAGTTGTCACGTCAATTTAGGAAAAATTGCATTTTTCTAATATGCTATTAGCTTAGTATTTTATATTAGGTCAGGAAAACGAAAAACCACTATTTTTGTATGAAATATTTGTATATAGACGAGTATTGTCCCATCATTTTCAATGTATAAGAAATAAGAATCTATTATTGAGAAAATGTCTATTTTTCTCCTAGGTCGTCACTACAGAGAGTCCTGTTTCGGCCACGGAAGATATCTTCTAGGAAAATGCAAATGCGACCGCCTCTACGGAGGTCCTCGATGTCAGTACCGTGAAGAATGTCTGGAAGACGGCGACTGCGGTCAAAGGGGAAGATGTGTCGACCATGGAGGAAGTTCGCTACCAAGACAACAGTGTTATTGCGAATTAGGATGGTACGGACCCGGATGCAATAAACGTAAGAAATTTCAATATAATTTGCGTGAAATGCGTGGTATAATTTATATACCCAAAGATAAATAACATGAAATTATAATGTTGAAATTTGATGCGTCCAAACTACAAAACATATCCTTATATTACACTTTTTTTTAAAAAAAAAGTATTATTTGACATTCATCAACGATAATGAACTTAATTCTATTTTTAATTCGTATTTGATATTGCTCAAGATTTGACCAGGGAATTTTCTATTTAACCCTGGAACCTTCGGGGTAGGGGCTATAAATGTATAAATATAAATATCCAAAGATAAAAATCGTGAAATTAAAATGTTGAAACTTGATTCGTCCAAACTACAAAACATATCCTTATATTACACTTATTTTTAATAAAAAAGTATTATTTTACATTGATCAACGATAATGAATTTAATTCTATTTATAATTCATATTTGATATTGGTCAAGATTTGACCAGGACTTTTTCTATTTAACCAGGTAACCTTCGAGTTAGGGGGTACAAATGTATGAATATAAATACCTGTATCTCATGATAACAGAGACTTGCAATAGTAACGAAAGAATAAGGTTGTAGAGTGAAGATCAATATATATCTTAAACTAAATAGTTGTTTTAATACATAACCCTTTCTACTCAGATACCGCCGCTCCTGTGGCAAAATACGTATTAATTCTGTATTTAACGAGTGGAAAGGGTTAATATCTAATTAATCAGGATGATCTCCACCAGATATGTTTCATAATATTTATCAAATTCTTGCAAAAAAGCCAAAAAAAGATCTACTAACAAACAAAAGTACTTTTGATATGAATTGATGAATGGTTGTTTATCTCCAGATACCTAAGTCGTAAGAATTAAGGTGAAGGCTAATTAGTAATTACACATTTTTTCCTTCTACTTTAACAAAGTATTGTTAAAAATTTTATACATTACTTTTTACATTACACCTGCTGACCTTTAAGCCTCACTCTACCCTTCTATAAGTTTTATAAAAAGAATGTTATGATATTACGAATATTGTTCTCTAAATTTGTGATTTTTTGTGAAAAATGTTAATTTCTTGGATTGAGCTGATAATCATACAATTTATTTACTATAAAGCTAAAAAGCTGCTACAGAAATGTTGTGAGTTTAGTTCAAATAGTTTTTGAGTAAATCCACTTGAAGTGAATTAAGTTGTTAAAATTTGATAGGTTTTAAGCCAATATCTCGCGAACTGTATTAGAGAGATTAAAACTTCTTTTATGCCCGGTTAGATTTTTCGATTTTTCTAATTTGAGTCAAACTGCAACACCCTAACTTAGGATGTTGCACCTTCAAAAGTTACTAACGTTCAAATATTTTTCCGGAAAATAATCAGAAATTATCGAAAATAATTTAGGTAAATCGATCTGGAATAGATAGTGAGTGGATACGGCCTAAAACTTGAAGTGCAATTTTAGTCAAAAATACAGCATAATTAAGAAAGAAATTTGATCGCATTCGATTTGATTCATTATATATGGAATGTATTCTCTATGGACTTTTTTGGCTTCACTTCTTCAGTTATCCAATAAAATCTTAAAAAATAAGCACTGTTCTTTTTAATGATTAAAGAGAGATATCAAAAAATATTTTTTAGATATTATTCAACTGTATTATTAAAATAGTTCAAATTCTGTAAGTATCCTTTGAAAACTCCTAAATAATGACTATAATTTTAATTCTTGAATTGTTGTTGAAATAGTAAATATCAGAAGGTAGCGCGATCAGACCACGTCGAGGTCACCAATGTGAAAATTTATTTATTAAAAAAAGTTTTTAACGAACTAAGTGAATGAGTGTATAAAAACTTTAGTATGAATTTGGTAAATCATACATGTATTGAAAAACATAATTTTAAAAATTAGATGTCATGATTTTCTAAAGTTCTGGGAAGTTTTCCAAAGCCAGCTCGTCTGGCTATACTACAAATACTTCATTAAATTCTATAAAATATGACTAAACTAGAAAATAGATTAAATAGTTTAAACAAATGAATAATAAAGTCTTTAAACTCATAACGTTTTAATATATCTTTACAAAAATTAGCAAAGATCTAAAGTGATTTTACACCTTTTGGTGTTCTTAATCGTTAATTCTTGAACTTTTGAAAATTTTATATTAATAATTACAAGTTTTTAATAATATGACATCAAATAATTTTTTTGATTAATAAAAAAATGAAAAGTCAGATCAGTCCGCCCAGGGGGGTTTCTGTTATTATTGTTGTGGAAGTATTTCATGAATTTGACAAGGAGTTTTCAATGATTTATGTTGATATGTTGTAAAAGCTGCGGTTACAAATTTAATGTTGTCAATCAAGTAGTAATACCATAAATACTGTCAATTTCCACGTAATAAAATCAGCACTCACCAATATTGTTAATATCTCTATTTCAATATTATACTATCAAGTTGGTGATGCATCATTAAACGTAAATCTAATTTTCATATTAAACACCTTAATGGCATTTGAAATTCCGCATTCGTCGCATTCGCGAAACGACTTGTTTCGTTTCAAAACATAAATAAATTTTATGGCGTATTACTTTCGAGGCATGCACTTTCTACCATTGAGGTTATAAATTGCACAATGTTTATTACTTACCAATTTCTACATTTGTCCTCAGGGTCTCCGATGAAAACTACCGACATCGATTTTTCGGGATACACTTCGAAACAATTGAGCCCAGACTTTAGGCTACATTGGAGGATACTGGAAGAACAGAAAGAAATTGAGGTAAGAAAAATGTAATTGATACAAATAATAATAATAATAATATTTAATCGACCAATCACATTCATTACTTGCTATTGAACTATTTTTTACACCTAATGTTTATGAGCCCACAGTCTAATTAATCAGTGATATGAATTTATGATTCCCAAGAATTTCACTTTTCTCATGCGTTTACGGCAATTTATTGACTCAAATTAAATTTAACATTTATGTTATATAATTTTGGTAATTGCATAATACGGTCGGTATTAATCTATAAATTTATCTTGAAAAGTTGCCGTGGCATGTGTTATATGGTCATTGATGCCAGCAGAGCAACAGATAATCAGGGATAAACAACTATTTTTAAAATATAGAAAATAGCTTCATAATTTAATAACAGATGTAATTTTATAACATTGAATATGAATCCAATTTATCTATTATTTAAAAATAAGTTGGGTTTTCCTTCCTGACGATATAACTCCAGAACGCACAAACCGATTTCGACGATTTTGCATTCGTTGTAAAGACCTCGGGCTCCATGAGGTTTATAGCAAAGAAAATTGAAGAAAAATTTCAACAGATTTCAGATTTCAACTTTTTCTTTTTTCACATACAGCATCATCTCTGATACTTAGCATGTACTACAAACTAATATTTTTTGTTTGACTGCTACTCATTGTTCTCTGCTCAGTTAATTTCATGTGACAACCGGCATTGTGTTTACTGTAAAATTGTGCAAAAAAGTGAAAAAATAAGCTCAATCGGAAACCATCAAAACAATCACGTGTATTATGCAAATTTTCATTCAATTTCAATAGCAGGCAATTTTTTTCTTCATCTTTTAATCATCAATCGAAATGTTACATAAAATGAAACCATCTGGTGGTGAAACGGAGTTCGCCCGGTTTGCTAATATCATATAATGATTCAAAATTGGCAGATCAATGTGTGGTCAATATTAATTAATTTCGTTGGCTAACCGGTATTTACCAATATTGGTATGACGATATTGGCTGTATCTAGAAAAATATCCACATTATATCTGTAGACAATATTGTCTTGAAATTGACGAATGTGAATTGTAAATTGCGACAAAGTTTACTATGTAATATTTACGTAATTGAACATAATATTCGTATAATGCACTCATAAATACAAACAAATGAAGTTTCAGTATTTTTCCTACTACTAATTTTATATTTCCTTTATCCTCCGCTGGCAAAGGGTTGGCAGCGCCTGTCCTAAAGCAATGTTTTTCTCTTACGTTGTTACGTGGCTCATGCAATGCCGATGCATTTAATGGCATGCAATTCAACATAGAAGCCGCCCGTGTAATAGGTCAACGTTTTGCAATGCGATTTTAGTCACGGAGGGCCACAAGGCGCGATTCTTTCTTATCCGAGGATGCCATCGGAATTTTTAAATGTATTTTCGTTTATTATGGTATAATAAAGTTGATATTGAGCTTAATATGGAAAGAGCATAGTGGTGTGCAATGTTTGCATGTTTATTTTCTAGCAAACTATACTGAAATAGAAGGGATAGATTTTTTGTAAATATCGACTGTGGTATCTTATAGATACACTTAAAATATTTGCTTACATATGTTTAGAAATATATTTTTGTTTACTATAAATTTAGGGACCGATTCTGTCTCATAACAGAAAAATGTTATGGCAAGGCTATGTTACGCTCCAACTTCTATACATTATGCTACTGTATCATACTGAATACTGTCAAAATGGCATGTATTTGCTGTGCATTTAGGCGTTTTACACATAAACTGCATCGTCACACATATGTTATGGAGCTGAGTCAGAAAGACCGTGTTATCTAAGATCGTTTTTTTTTGACATTTTTGCGGTTTCTAGGCTAGGTTTTCTATCTGATAACCTGTGAAATTCGCCTGACTGCACACTAATCACATGGCTTTTGTCAATATTTTGTATGGAAAGTTTTTCATAACATGGCCTTGCCTGGTCCTTTAAATGATAAATGATAAAATTATATGTCAATTATCGATTATATGTAGACCATTAATTTTTCTTAATAATGAATAATTTTGCAATTTTTGTTCCGCAATAGATGATCTAGGAAATTGTGTTTGAAATGAAAAGCTTGAGTGCATAATTGTGATATGCAAGTCATATAATGATGAAAACGTGTAAAAACATTCTCTCACCCTGGATTCTAGAGCCTATTAATTTCAATGCACTTTATCGATTTCATTATTTGATTGGTACTTTGTTGCCTTTGTGGTAAATACGAGATTGAAATTGATGATGAAAATGTAAAGCTTAATTTACACAATCATTTTAGTCGGAAATAAGACTTTTAACGGTAAAAGGAAATATAAACAACTTATTATTGAAAATTCTTAAAAATATACGATAATTTGATGTATACGAGAATTTTTGACCGCCAAATGACTTTTTTTAATATTGTTTATTAGATCTTTAAAACTACTGGTCATATCTTCCCAAAAATTCTAGTCCAAAGAATATGAGTTCTTCATTTAATCTGTGGTCAATGTTAATTAGTTTCGTTGGCTGACTGGTATTTGCCAATATTGGTATGACTAGAAAAATATCCACATTATATCCCTTCTTCAGTAAAATTTTCTTCTAAACTCATCTTAAGTAAAATGTTTTTTGAATCATTCAAATCGGACGCTCCGTTCTTTCAAAAACTAAATTGCCATTGTTGAACTTTTTACCAGTATCTTCAAACCGGCTCTACCTGCCTTTACCAGAAACTGATTGGTACGTCTTTCTATCAATACAAATCGAATGTTTTTTGAATAATTCAAATCGGTTGATTCGTGTTCCCAAAATCGTCGACGAAAATTTGTATCCGCACACAAACAGATATATAAATTTTTCCCAAAGTATGCCAAAATGTTCAGGAGACCTTGAAACGTGATGATCTGAACTTCCTTGAAATGTACATATGTCTAATGATCATTTTTGATAGCTAAATGACATTTTTTAAACTTGTTTATGGAATTTCCGAAACCACAGGTCCTTACTTCCTAAAAAATCAAGTTCAAAGAGAATCAGTTGTTCATTTCGTTAATACAAGTAAAATATTCTTTGAATCATTCAAATCGGAAACTCCGTTTTGTCAAAAACTGTATTGTCTTTGTTGACGTTCTTGGAAGTATCTTCGGAACAGTCTCCCTATCAATACAAATCGAATGTATTTTTAATCATTCAAATCGGTTGATTCATGTTCCTGAAATCGTCGACGAAAATTTGTATCCGCATACAAACAGATACATCTATTTTTTCTCAGGTATGCCAAAATGCTCAGGGGGCCTTGAAACGTAAAGATGTGCAAAAATTTTCATTCTCGAGGTTGTTTCGGTTGCTGAAACTTACGCTTATAGCAAGTTAATAAAAAACCTGATGTCAGGTTAATCAAAATTAGCATGTGGCTATTTGAAGAATGAAGAAATTTTCATATATAATTATGATTTGTTTACTAATGCGTCTTAAAACCGTTATATTGTTTCGAAACTAGTTCAATGTACATATATAAATTAGCAGCTTTGTGATTAATTGTTTAATTATTTTCGTCGGTTACCATTGATTAATGAGAGAAACTAAAACAGATTAAACAATTTTTCCCATTAATAATATTATATAACAACTCAAATATCAAAAGTTAATTCACTTCTCCTCGTGTGAAATGAGTTCATAAAAGCGATTGACAGTTAGAGCAAATTCATTTTGCAATCCAATCTCGAACGCTTCATAAACTTCACTCCTCCAGAACAAATACTTGATGAAGGACACTCAAACTACCGTAACGTTATAATAATAAATATAAAGTTCATTAACACGGCGCGAATTATGAAGATTTCTTGTAAATGTCATCGGTGCTGTATGTGCAAGTAACGAAATTGCTTTTGCATTATATCCATACTGGGAAATATTAAATGCGTTGCATTCATTATTTGAATGGATTTCTTTTTCGGTGCAATTATGGACGCATGGAATGATATTGTGAGAGTATCGGCACCAGAGGTGGTGGTCAGGAAACTTCGAATTTATTATGCTGAACTTTCTGTTTTTGTATATTTATCAATGTCAAAAGATATACGAGTGAGGAATTGGATAATTATGGTCTCGTTTCGCATTGTTATTATTTACTGGTAATATAATTCTCGTGTCATGGTGTTAGTGTCAATATTCCTATGAAACGGCTTGACCGATTTTTAAAATCTTCTGTAAGGGTTGGGGGAATATTTTTTTCAAGTTTGACTTTTTTATAATTGGTGACTGAAAAACGCATACAACCCTAAATTTTTACCCTTCTGCCACAAACCCCCATTTTGTAAAAGTTATTGTAGTAATAAGATAATTTTTAACTTCTCCTAGGGTAAGTTATTGTAATTGTCCAAAAATCGAAATTGAAAATTTTTACATTTCTTCACGTTTTGAAGGTTTCTGAACATTTTGGCATACCTCAGAAAAAAATGGATGAAATTGTGTATGTGTGTGTGTGTGTATGTATGCAAGGATACAATTTTTCGTCCACGTTTTCGGGCGCACGGATCAACCGATTTAGATGGTTCAAAAAACATTCGATTCCTATTGAAAGGAAACTGTGCTGATTAGTTTTTGACAAAGGCAGGTCCAGACGTTTCGGAGATACAGAGCAAAGAATGCAAAAAATAGAAATCGAGTTTTTGAGAGATCGGAGTATCCGATTTGAATAATCTAAAAAACATTCAATTAGTAATGATTGGGAGAAGTGGTTATTAGTTTTTGGCAAAGGCAGGCCCAGCCATTTCAAAGATACAGAGCTAAATGTGCAAAATATGGCAGTTTTTGAGAAAACTAAGCATCCAATTTGAATGATTTAAAAAAAAATAGCTTGTGTTGAAAAAACGATTGCTTTTGAGGAAAGATTTAAAACTAATTCGGATTCTAGTTTCTAGCTAAAGTTCTAAACATTACTTATATATAATACTTCAAATAAATAATTTTAACTTTGCAATTTAGTTTATATAATTCTTATAAATATTATACAATGTCCTTCATTTCAAATCGGATTGATTAAGTTTTGTTAATTTAATTTTATAGAATAAGAATAATAAAAGTTACTATATTTATAATAATTTATTTGAAAACATTTAATATTCCTGGAATATTTCATTAAGGTATGGGAAGTTTCAGCAATTTACCTTAAGGCACGATGCCATGCACCACTAGTTTATCTTACTCATTGATATATTGTTAAATTCGTACAAATTCAATTTTCAAGCGAATTACCGTAGTAAGTCGATTAATAATTATATTATTTAATTAAACTAGTCGTCCAAAGCCAATGTATTGTAAACAATACTTTTGTCATTATTTCCTCGTTAACCTGATAATAGTCAAACACGATGTTCTTTAATGCCGTGACCAACTTTCAAAGAATTTTAAATATATATTTTACGGTTCTTATGCAAAAGTTCTTATTATCTTCATTTGTTCTACTGTCCCTGATGACATGTGCATATAAGACATTTTAATTAGAATATATTAATTGTTATATCGCAATTGAGGTTGAATAGTACACGATCAATTATTATTATAAGGTTTTCAATAATCAATAGCGATAAATAGGTTACTGTGACGATGTGAGATTATTTTTTGTCTTTAGTTGATTTAGGTATTATTAGCCTTCGATGACATTAATAATTAAACTTCAAGAACTTTGATAGTTGGAAAATGAAATGCAAGGTGGAATTAATTACTAAGTTATATCCGGCTGGTTGAAGATAAATTTCAATTAATATCTGTGTAAAAAACATCGTTCAATATGTTGTACATTGATTAATAATTAATGACGCAGAACTATTGAAGTTTTTATTATACAATAATATGTTTTAGTTGAAATATATTATCATTTATGTGGAACTAAACATTTCGATAACGTGGTATTTTAATTTAGAAATTTTATTGATATACTATAAAGTAAATGAGATGTAAAAATACTTGTAAAAATATTTCCAAAAATAATTATAATTATATTATAGAATATAATTAGCAATAAATATTAGATTAAACTACTGACATCAAATAACATGCCATGTTCTGGCACCATTCGAGAAAACATCTATCATTTATACCTATCTAAATAAAAACGATGTGATCTAGTTTAAAATAACAAAAACTGTGACCACAATCTAATTGAATGTAGGTAATTGTTTCACGAATTTGTTCTAGGTTGTGATGGTCGTGAACGGGACATCATACGCCGCTTTGGGCTGGAGACCGCGATCTCTCACCGCCAAATGCAGAAACTTCCCGCAGATTGGAAAGAAAATTGCTGCCACGGCAGATACAACAACAGGTAGATAAATGTAATAGAAATAAATTAATCAACAATAATATTTCTGTGAGAAATTTAAGTGGAGTTATAAAACGCAATGATGAATTTGCTATAATGTTCCAAGAGGTATACATACATACTCCAATTTAGGGAGTGTCCATTAATCACGTGATCGATTTTTTAAGGATTTTTGCACCCTATTCGAAATCACTCTTTCTCCCCCACCAAACATCATGTCTATTTTTAGTTACAAGAAAAAATGGTAAAAATCTCTCGTGATTAATGAGCACCCCCTTAGAGCAATAGGAATGTGGAGTAGCAATCACTAGTTTCGAGTTCGATCGCATTCTCGGCCAGCTTGATATCAAGTAATATAATATCAGATTTTTGCTTGAAGTTATAGATCTCAAATATGACTAAATGAGAAAATAGTCTTTCGGAGACATTGCTGGATATCAATAAAAAGTAAAAAAAATGTCATCGTATAGAAATGTGTTACATCTAAAAAAGGACTACTTTTGGGTTGCCTTTCACACTAACCATAAGTTAATGATTCAAAACGATTTCTAAAAACTATATACACTTTTGTAAAATAAGAAAAAATATAAAAAAGTGGTTAACGCGTAGGTTCTTAATCAGGCGGATCGCAATAAAATAATCAATTATAGATCAATCGACCGTTCGGTTACTATCTAAAAATATGACGTAAGAAGAAGTTTCAGCTCAATAGCTTGTAAATCATAAGATTCTGATTGCTGTTAAAATAAGAGAAAAAAGAAGTTCGATTTATGTTGAACTACCCGGTGCACCAAATTGAAGTGACCACCATTATTGCCATAAGAGTAAAATACATTAGTTCATTTTTGCTATGAAAACTTTTTTGCAAAATTATGTTGCATTCATAATTGTCGTAAACTTTATAATTATTCGTAAATTACAAACAGTCTATTATACGAATACTGTTAGACATAAATAATAATTTAATTACATCATGAAATGCATATATAAATGAACACTTCCATAACAGTTCCATATTCCACGGAATGACAACACCGACCTGCGGCACGAACATTTCACGGAGCACGACATCGTAATAATAGAGTCATTAAGTTTATAATTACCACTTCAATAAGATAAAAGCCCATTATGATCACAGTTAGCCTAAAATCATAATATCTTATATCAAAAATTATTACGAAACTAATCGGAATCGTGCCGCGTTTGATGGAACGAGATTGTCATGGTATAGTGTAGCGGCATTTGAACTTTTTAGCTTTCAAATTAAATTTCATAGTCTTGGGACATGAAAATTTTATTATATGTGTTTGAATATAATGAAGATGATTATATTAAAAGACTTTGTATTTAATTAAAATTAGATATCTTTTTGTAGCCTTGATTAGAATGCTCACTTTATATTGGAATATCAATGAATGTATGAACATAAGAAATAAACTTTTTGTTCATTCCTAACTTATTTTTTAACATAGTCCAGTCATTATAGTAAGTTCACCTCGGAATTCAAGATACCCAACTGTATGTAAATGCTTGTATATTGATACCCTAAAGTTGTCTCAAAACCTACATATGGTATTGACATCTTACCATATGTAGGTTTTGAGATAACTTTAGGGTATCAATATACAAGTATTTACAGACTTACAGCTGGGTATCTTGAATTTCGAAATTCTTACCTGATTTAAGCTTAAATGACTGGACTATTATAATTTACTTCTCCAACACGTAACGTGGACATAAATACTTTGCAGTAATACTGATAAGAATTGTCAATGAGTATGAAGATTGAAGATTTTTATAGTTCAACAGCAATCAGAACCAAATTCAGTGTATTTAGAAGGCAACCCATTTGTTGATCATATTCTTTCTAATGGTATTATTTAGATATATTTCTAGTGGTGTGAATATACATTGTAGCAAAGCCCTAAAAGAAATTGTTAAAGTATACATTAAAGAAATACCAGAACTAAAAAAGGACAAATAGTGGATTGCCTTCCATAAAAAACATATGCTAAAGATCGCTATTAAGAAAACTTAAAATAAAGAAACGTAGAAATCACTAGTTTCAGGATCAATCCCATGCTCGCCCAGCTTGATATCAAGAAGTATGATATAAGATTTGCACTTGAAATTACAGATCTCAAATATGATCAAGTGAGAATAGTCTTTCAGTGACATCGCTGGATATTAATAAAAAATCACAAAATATATTATCATGGTATAAAATAGTTTGAGTTCGATGACCAGCTCGACTAGCTTGATATCGAGCAGTGAAGGTAACAGATAGCACTTGAAATATTAGAAATCTATGATCTCCATGAAAATCTGGTATAACAACTGGACCAAGAACTACTTAACCTTATGAACAACGGTTTATTGAACAATTTTGCACTAATTTAAATAAACATATGTCTAAAATTAATCTTATAGTACAAAGTTTATTAAATGCATTTACATCTTACAGCAATGCCCTAAAAAGCTATTAAAATTGATATCATATTAGAGATTTATGATCTCCAGTAAAAATCTCGTATAACAACTTTACCAAGAGCTACTGAACTATTTGAATAACTGTGTGTTCTTGAGAAATCAAAACAAATAGTAATTTAGACAATCATATGTATCAATTTTAACATTATATGACAACGATTATTTTAATGCATATGCAACTTGCTCATAAAAGTGAACCATCTGGCAGTCTTGTCAGGTGCTTGTGCAGGTAGAAATTGCCTGGTAATTGGATTTTTAAACTTGTCAATAAATAAATAAAATCGTATTAAAATTTGATCGTATTAAACAGGAATAAGTTCAATTTTTGGGTATTTTTTTGCATTTTCAAACTCCTGGTGGATAATGATTTGGATTAGAATTGGACTGAAACCTGTCATGCTATGGTTTTCGTATGTATAATGCTTAGAATCTCTTGCACAGATTTTTTTAGCCTTACAAGAACACCCTTAGTCTAAAGCTTCAATTGATCGCCGCCTATACTGCTTGATATCAAACTGACTGAGGTGGATATCTAACCCGGAATCAGTTTTTACTAATCCAAAGAGCATTGACCAGCTCACGAATAAAACATCAATCTATTATTCTCTATATTATTACATAAGATGCAAAAATACTCATACTCTGAAACCGCAGATAAACTTCAATCGACAACACGGAAAAAACTTGAATGGTGAAAGTAGTTCATTATTATAATAGCTCATATTAATTCATTTCAAGCTAAAAAAATTACCATTACTTCATTATGCGTGAGTTTTGTAATGCAGCAATCAGTAACATTGTTGGTATACAAACAAAACAATCTTATTGTTCTGCTTGAGAAAATTCTAATGAACCGAGAACACGGGATTAGAAAAACGGGATAAAATGCATTTATATGAAAAACTTTATACAAATTTACTATAGTCTGCAATTTTATTGGTTTTAAAAAATGAACAATTTAACTATCTGTTACTTCCATGTTAGTTCTTTGTTCATGTTTCTAGTTCCATATAATTAATAATCACTATGATTTTATAATAGAACCAGAACCGGAACCGACAAGCGAACCAAGCGCCGAACCAGAGCCTGAACCAACTAGTGAACCTACTGCAGAACCAGAACCACACAGTGGGGAAAAAACCAAGACGAAACGTGTGGCCAGGCCTGCTGCCAATGAAGAACTAACTTCGGAACCAGATGTCACGGTGCAAACCAGCGTCAGTTATAGAGTCAGTACCAGACACGGTTAGTAGAAAAAAATTAATATTTTTAAATACATGACCAAAACTTAAGATGTATTATTTACGAGGTTAAATATACTATCATGGGTTCGTCGTGGCGAAGGTCGTTAACGCGTTGACTTTGTATGGACAGGGTTGCGCTTTCGATTCCCCGCTCCGGCAATCTGACATCGGGCAGCGCGATGTCAATTTTCAATTGAAAATATAGATCAAAATATGTTTCCAATTGAAAATAAGTCCATCTCGAGCACTGCGGTGTGAAATGGCAATGGGAAATCTCTCACACTATTCTTCCCTGAATCGAGTTGGAGTTTTAACTCAGTTCACGGACCTGCCCTAGGGCAGTACACCCATTATTATTTATTATATACTATCATAGTAATAAGAGCCCAAAAAATATGATCTGATTAGTTAAACAAATTAGTGAAAACGATTATAATATTTACAGCAATTTTTTTATTCCAGGTCGCAGAAAGCGTGAAGCAGAAGGTTCGTATTCATTATTTATACAAAATTAGTTTAGGTTCTCATAACTAGAAGTTTGATTTGATAGCTAAATGAAAAATGGAGTAATTAGCGTGTACATAACACAGACACCTTTCACCTCACACTATATAGACTGAGCACTTTGATATATTTGCACCAACTATACTATTTGCTCTCTAATAATACTGAAGGATGTTATCTATATAAGTACTTCTAAATACTAATTTTGGGATCTTCAGATTGATTTAACTAAACAGATATTAGATTAAGACTAGAGTGATTTTTGATGACTCTTGTAGTCTGATTATTAGAGGAATTTTATTTAGTCATTTAGTTAATGCAAATAAATTAGAAACGTAATTATGAAAAATAACCATAGGAAAACTTAAGGAAATACGTGCATTTGCACCACATAAATGTAATATATACATGCATAATTTTCACTAGCATATCTAAATTTCACAACATCCATCGCAATAACGTAGTACATGAAAAAAATGATTTTTTTAAAAGTGTTTCTTAATATTTGCGATGGTGATAATTCTACTTTAAAATAAATATAATTGATGAGTCAGACTATTTCTATATTTTACATATCACCAGAACCATTTTTGGTACTAAAAATAGTACACGATAAGATACCTTAACTTTTTCAAATATTCAACTTGTATCCCTTTTCCTTGAGAGGCACAGTTTGATTTTTATATGTGGTGAAATCTATTGCACGTTTATCGCGTCTATCAGGTTCTTCTGTGCGTCCAAGTTCCGAAACCGATTGGGGCGAATCCTATACAATTACTCAGCCATCACAGAAAACTTGAGCGAACCACAAGAGGGCATCAGAAAATCCAAAACAGCATTCATTGATTTCCACGATGCCGAACCAGTTTCAGCAGCTGAACCGAGCGCTGAACCAGAACCCGGCTCTGAACCAGAACCAAGTTCTGAACCCGAACCAGCATCTGCTGAACCAGAACCAAGCTCGGAACCAAACGCAGAACCGGAGCCTACGAGTGAACCAAACGCAGAACCGGAACCTAAATCCGAGCCAGAACCTAAATCTGAACCTGAACCTACTTCAGAACCTACATCAGAACCCGCTTCTGAACCTGAGCCAAAATCTGAACCAGAACCGAAATCTGAGCCAGAACCGAGTTCCGAACCGGAACCCAGCTCTGAGCCAGAACCCAGTTCAGAGCCTGAACCAAGTTCAGAGCCAGAGCCTAGCTCAGAACCTGAACCAACGTCGGAACCCGAACCAAAATCAGAACCTGAACCAGAACCTAAATCAGAGCCGGAACCTAGTTCAAAATCAGAGTCAACCACAGCTAAAGGTATAACAGTAGAAATATTAAAATTTATTGCTTCTAGAGTTATAAAATTTGAAAATTATTAACTTAGGTAATATTACTCTGTACATAATGTAAATATTCTTCATATATTGTAGTATGGTATTTAAAAATCTAAACTTGGTATAACAGTACTAATGTTTTTCTTTATACTTCATTATTATAAGACTGTCCTAGTGAAAGTATTACTAATATTGACTTCTTTGATAAAGCATCTTATTAAATATAAATCAATTTTTAGCATATTTGCTAGATTTGCATATAACTAAGATTTGATAGACTCAGATGTTAAAAATATAAATTGATAAAGTAATGGTGTCAGCATATCTCGTTGATATACAATAATGTTGATTCAATAATGACTCAAAAATTATACCTGTGAATCAGTATCTTTATCAACTGCTTATCTGACATCAATACTTAGTAATGATATAATGCAATTTATAATGTAATCCAATTGTCCAGCTGCCAAATCAGCACCCGTCAGCAAGTCTGCTCAAGCTCAATCAGTTCTTACGCTCCTAAACACGATTTCAGTCCAATGGATTGTACAGATATCGTGATTGGTAC